CTTGATTTATATAATTTAGGTGGGTGGGGGGCAGACACAGTCTCTATGGGGTACTGGGAGCGTTGGGTGGGTAGCAGCTGCAAGGAGACAGCAGCGAGGCGTGTAAGACTGCGACCCTGCATCCTGGACTCAACTCTGGGTTGTCATAATTTAGGTTGTAAAACAAACTCGTCCAGATTTCTAGATAAGAGAGCCGCACCACCCAAAGTGGGATGGATGCCATCTCTACTAATCAGACAAGGTTTTCCCCAAAATGTTTTCCAGTTGTCTATGAAGCCCACGTTATTTTCTGGGCACCACCTAGACAGCCAGCGGTTGAATGACGACATGCAGCTAAACATGTCATCACTGGTCACATTGGGTAGGGGTCCAGAGAAAACTACGGAGTCCGACATTGTTTTAGCGAAGTTACACACCGACTCAACATTAAAACTCATCTGTTAACTGGTGTTTTGGTTCCAGATGTAGGTCGATGATGAATCTTTTCCATGGACTAGCATGGACCTGGTGTCGCTGAGCTGTTTGATCCGTCTGCTACTCCACCTTTTTAGAAACATTTTTGTTGTTGTGGAGCTCTGATGATATGGGACTAGTTTATGACACACCACAGCTCTTTCTATCTAGGACAGCCTGAGAGAAGAATACTTTGAAACTGACCTATTGCAAAAGTGTATTCTATCAGTTTTACACAAGGCTATCCATGGAGCTGTGTCTCATTTTCTAGATGACATTAAACTGCAATGGATGATGGAAATGGTCTCCCAAATATCAGAAATGTCTTTAGCAATTGGTTTGGTTCATTGCCCATTGATATGCATCAGGCCTGGGCTGTAACACTTTACAGGCGCCATCTGAGTGGCAACAAATTGGCAGAACTTTTTATCTAGACTGGATAAGAGGGGAGTGGGATTCAAAAACCTACAGTCATATGTTTGGATGGAGGTTTTAGATATCAATTCAAGTGTAAGTGGTAGAGTTATTAATTAATGTTACCTGAATATCCTGTTTGTTAGTTTGTTTGTTAACAGCATAACTCAAAAAGTAATGAACGGATTTTAATTAAGTTTTTTTTTTTGGAGAGGTAGGGTATGGGCCATGGAACAATAGATTGGATTTTGGTGCTGATCCATTGCATAATCTGGATATCTGATTTTTCTAAAAGTTTATTCACCACTGTGAGTGCTGCAAAGGTTGTATGTGAGCCCTCTGGTGGCCAACGTGCACAGCTGTGCTGCTGAGCACTGGAGTCAATACAAGTGCAGCTAATACAGTAAGTTTGGTGTGACGTGTGCATCTGTGAAGAACTCTGCATTAGGAAAAAAATAAATAAATACCCGTGAGGTGTACAGGTCCTCCATGGAGGGCAGGCTGGCACCGATGATTCTGCAGTCCTGACTGTCCACTGGAGTCTGTTCCTGTCCTGTTTGGTTGCTGAGCCAAACCAGACAGTAATGGATGAGCAGAGAAACAGACTCTGATTCCTCTGTAGAACTGTATCAGCAGCTCCTGGGGCAGGTTGAACTTCCTGAGCTGGCGCAGGAAGTACATCCTCTGCTATGCCTTCTTAATGATGGTGCTGATGTTGTTCACTTCAGGTCCTGGGAGATAGTGGAGCCCAGGAACTTGAAGGACTTTACTGCTGATACAGTGCTGCCAAGTATGGTGAGGGGGTTCTTCCTAAAGTACACTGTCATCTCCACTGTTGTGAGCATGTTCAGCTCCACACCACAGGGCCAGCTATTCACCTCCCATCTGTAGGCTGACTTGTCACTGTCTCAGATGAGACAGATGATCGCTGTGTCACCTGCAAACTTGAGGAGTCTAACAGAGGGGTCCCCTGAGGTGCAGCTGGTGGTGTAGAGGGAAAACAGCAGCAGGAAGAGCGCACATCCCCGGGGGTCTCCTGTGTTGATAGTCTGGGTGCTGGATGTGATATTCTCCAGGGTCACCTGTAGAGGAGAGACACACTCACAGCTGGGCAAAGGGAGAGCACAGGACATGAACTATCAGTCCATACTGCAACTATCAGCCACTAACAGACTGTGTCAGCAATTTATAAAATAGCTGTTGAGCAAGCAATACACAGATTTGCAGAAATGTGACATCTTTACCGCTTTCCTTGTAGTCCACTCACTGAAATTCTAGTGAATGTCCCGCCTGTGGTTTTTCTTGCATAACTTTCAAACCTCATTCTAAATGC